TATATATAAAAATATAATTCGTATTATAATCACTTGTGTAGATGTTATTCTGATTGGAACAGCACTGTTTTCACAAGAAAGTTCAAAGTGAAAACCTATAATTAATAACAGTAACAATTAGTTGATTGGATGGAAACTAATTGAACTTTAATTGGTCGTGCCTACGCGAGAGTGATTATTTTTATGGAAAATTGTAACGTCAAACTTAAAAAAAGAAAATGAAATAATTAAAAGTTATGAAAACAGAAACATTATATTCCTTTCCCTCGACGACGAATTGTTGTTGTTACACTGTGAAGGGTGAAAGTGATACTTTGAGGACACTCTCAGTTTCCAGTTTCTATTTTTTATTATGTCTTTATTTTATTTTTACTTGTCTTTCCTTTTTGTAACGTTCCCATTGTGTTGATGAGCGCCTGGCCTGTTGAACATGGTCTTCGCGGAGACCCGGGTCTTGTTGCAAAAACGTCGCTCCGGTGAAAACACTTGGTATTGGTCGAAAACACCTGTTCTCGAAGTTGTATTTTATGAAAGCTGGGTCCTCTTACTTTCATCAGGAGAGGGCTTAATAAATTATCAAGCTCGGCCCACTTTCTAATTGTGTAAAGATGGGTATTAATTTCTAATTTGGTTCTTATTAATTGTTAACAACTTAACAGTCTCACGTTACCCGAACTCACAAACTAAATAGAATAAATAATTGACTCCAAGATAGTTATACTTGTACTTAACACTTGTTAAGCTCTGATGGTGGCCAGAGGTTACTGGTTAGTTATTTACTGCTGTTCAAGAGACTTAAGGATCTGTTTTGTATCTTCCATCCTTATATTTTTCTACCCTTTAGCGTTTAATTTTTTTTTTTCATGTTGGTCTCAATAACTATTATACTTATCCAATATCTCAGGTGAGACCAATATCTTACCTCCTAGACGTCCAAATTTGAAATCTTCCCAAGTTTTCCCTCAAGTTATTTTAGTGAACTAACTGTACCCATCCGATGAAGTTGCAGATTCAGCAATGACTTGTGCTAACCAATTACGCACATTTCCAGGAGGCATGCCTTATTTGAAAAGTTCTGAAACTACACACTACCAGCATAAGACGAAAATGCCATAAACAAAACACGCCCGATCATAAAATTATACAATCCATGACAGGGCGAAATTTATTCCCGTGTCGGTAGAACAGATGGAGCGTACCATTCCGAAGCAACCTAATGTCGCTGGTTGCAGTTTCCGCATGCGCCCTATGTTCCCCGAGCATAAATACATTGAGCCAGTGCATTTGTGCATTCCTAATAAGCCGGAGGCAATCTAGAGATATTTAAATCAAACGCATAATGCCAAGGCATATTTCATGCCACGTGGAGGAATGGTTTATGTGGTCCGGTTTATACACCGTCCGGTGTATACGGTTCATAGCCTTGTATAGCAAACCTTTTTAATGCATAGACCAAATTTGACAATTTTTTATGCGAAACTATACATCTCTCTGTTATATAAAAAAGTTGTTAGTGTATGTCATATTTTACTTTATTTTAGTATTAGGAGTGTAGGATGTTACAGGAGCTCTCCTATTAGCTGTGTAATTAGCTCTAATCATAGATGTGTTGAGCTCCTGTTACGTAATACTCTCCTAATACAAAATAAAGATTTTAGACTAAAAGTTAGTAAGAAAATGATATTTATTCATATGGTGGTGGAAGTTTGATTTTATCTGACATGAATGTGACAGCAGTTATTTTTCTATCTATACATTTCACCTTGACTACAATATATTAATTATTATATTATAGTGTGGTATAATTATTACGAAATAGAAAAGGAAGCACAATATAACGAATTACGAAAATATTAGAAATAAAAGGCTTAAATTATTCTAGTGCTTATATGGACAAGTTGAATATATATTACGGTTACAAATTAGCAATAAGAATAATTATAATTATATAATAATATAATTGTTCGAACTGCGGTTTTATTCAGTTTATTTTATGGTGATATAAAATAATACAATCTGAACTACAATTAAACCAACAGTTGTGTAATTTGGTAAAATGGGGGTTGGTACGCCGTTAGGCCTATATACCCCACTAATTTTTATTATTATTATTTTTTTTGTAGACTTACGCCATTTTCTCGTTAATACAAACGGTCATATATCACTGAAAGATGTATCAGTTTCACATCCAAAGATCAGCCTGTGGCTTTGGAGACCACTCTTGTTGAGGGCCTATGTTTTGTCAGTATCGCATGGCCTGGCCCATATCATGTACCCGGTTCCTTCCCGTGTGAATAATGAAACTGGATAACGTATTACAATTCCTTATTCACTAGTCGGCCTGCTTTCACTATTATTGTAGCTGTTCCTGTGTAACAGGTATCTGTTAAGTGTGAGCGAAAGCACCTATGTAACTTGCTAGCTATAACATTTCCAAGATTGTCTCTCTCTTCCTCTTCGGGCAACTTCGTAACTGTATACGATCGGTATCATTTAAATAATATTTGAAGCCGAAAAAATCCTTGATTCTCTCAAATACCCGTTCTTTACTAGGCACAGGTTGTGTGATCATATGAGACACAGACGGATCTACGGGGGGGGGGGAGAGGGAGCTTTCGGGCTGAAGTTCCCCCCTTCCCAAAAATGGTAAAATATAACCATGTTTTATAGAAAAAAATATTAATAACTATCTCTTAAAGTATTATTGTTCGTGTAATTACATTTAATAGAACCTCAAGAATCACTTAAACACCATGTCATATAGGTACTAATTTTTATATATATATATATATATATATATATATATATATATATATATATATATTAATTATCGTTATATATATGAAAAAAAGTTTTAGGGCTGAAGTCCCACTCCAAAAAAAAAAAAAAATCCTGGATCCTCTAGTGATAGAAGATGCCTATGTCATAAAAACAGTTTAAAAAAATAATTAAAAAACGGAAAAGAGATAAAGTTATACACATAAACTCTATTTTGAGTTATACATTCCTGTAACTACAACAAATTAATTATTAAAAAATATAATATAATAAAATCTTAATTTACAAGAACTTCTCTTTCCTAATTACTTCACTTTTAATTTAACTTATGCATAAAAGGGATAATATTCTATTATATTGTCTATATTGTTAAAAATTAATGATCTTAAAGAAACTTTTTTTTAAAAAATGAATAAATAACTTTAGTAACTTTTTTTAAAATTTATTTAGACACATAATATTCTGTCACGGGGACAATAATTATATTGATAAATGAACACATTCACACCGTATTTACAAAAAAAAATTAACAAAAGTAAAATAGTAACTAAATAATAATAAATAAAAACTATATACAATAAAAAAATAGAACAGCCTAAATATAAGTAAATTACAAACATAAAAATACAGTCATACCTATATACAGTATATACAATCAGGCGGGGAACCCAAATCCCTGCGCTACTCTCTCAACCGCCTCACTGGTGCTAAAGCCGGTGGAGTTTGAGCGAGAGCGCTTTAGTAACTAAGTCAAAAGTACATCCAGATTGTCAAGTCGATACTAATCTAGAAATCGTATTAGTTCCAAACATTCTTAACTTTTTTAAAGAAAAGTCGTCCTATAGAAGTATTATAGAACATTGTATTATAGTAGGACTGAGTTAGGTAATGGAAAAAAAAAATCGGTGGTTTTTCACAGTTGATTTATCTATTCCAAAAGTGTGACTGTTGTTTGCTGTTCCGAAGAGTTTTCGAATAAATTTATTTTTTTCAGAGATGTAAGCAGAAAGAATATTCAGAAACATTATTTTACGATTAAGTATTTAAAATCTTAATATGTTGCTAATCATGTTTTAAAAAAAAGTGTTAAACCACTTTTATTTTGTTAAGGAGTTATATACTATTACTATATTGATAGTTTTAGTTAACTCCAGGCTTCTTATTGTTTGACTCAAATACATTATGTATTTGAATTACAACACATTGCTGTTATTTGAAAGCCAAATTAAAAAATGAAAAGTAAATTCGAAGTTATCCTTCCAAGTATTGAAAGATAGCAGATATGAGAAAACAGATGGGAACAAGTTGAAGACATAAAATAACATGGTGAGGAATAGAACAGATTAAGAAAATTCCCATATAATAATAGATGCTAAAAACCGTTGTTATATTCATCTCGGTTAATTATTGTATTCGAATAATTACTTCTAGCCTTTCTACAGTTATTTCAAATGTTATGAGTTTCTGTGGTTTTTTTTTTTTCATTTCAAAGACTAATTTAAGCATTTTCTAAATATGTCTTGAAGCCATAACTTTTAAAATTATTGTAAACATTTAAATAAAATTACATTTCAGACATCTTAAAACTTATTTTTATTGTTGTTATAGAAGATTATTACGCGGATGTAAATTTGGCATTCAAAAAAGTATTTCGTATTAAACGGACATTCTAACGATCAACATGATCTGATGAGTAGGATAAAATTTCCTTATAAAATTCGTGGATGATCTTGGATCTTTTAAATTGTGAAAATCGGGCATAGTTTGATGGATTTATACTACATAAATAAAATTTAAAACACAAAACTTAAATTTCCTGCTTTTTAGCTGGAAATTAAACATTGTTTATATGAAGTTTTTTGTAGATCTTGATGTCCACTACCAACCAGAAATAGTCATATGCTACTCTTCTATAGCTGAATAAAGTCCTCAGAATATTGAGTACCAGGTATTTTACTCAAATCCTGACCTTTTTTGAGTACCAAAGATTTTAATTACTACTTCACTTTGTGTCATTAACTACCATTAAAGATTAACTGAAGTAGTAATTGAATTCCCAATAATGTGCCAATTTGAGTAAAATATTTATAACTCGGTACTCAGAATACTATTTGTCCATCTCTGCTATCAATCCTTTAAATATTTAGCTATACTTACGGAACTATAAATTAATTAATTTTCTTAAATTAAATTAATTAATTAAAGATTTTCTTTGTTTTCAGGGAGTGCAGAGCCAAGACAGGCACCTGTTTCTCTTCAACGACCTCCTCTTGATCGCCAAGGCCCGCTCCGGAGGCAACTTCAAGCTGAAGGAGAAGGTCCGAGTATCGGAGATCTGGCTGTCCCAGAACGGGATGGAAGAGCTCTGCGAAGTCCTCAAGTCGAGGGACACTTCCTTCCTCATAGGATGGCCCACCACCAACGTCGTTGCCACCTTCAGGTAAGTATCGTTTTCAAACAATTTTTTTTTTTTTGTTTTTGTCACAGTGGGATTTAATAATATCTGTAACCTGTAGCAGCTTACGTAACCGGTTGGGTAAGGTGACAGTTACACAAGAAGTAACTTATGGCTGAACCTACTGACCAACCAGTTCCCCGGCCCCGGGGCTAGATAAGGAAATTAGCTTCTATAAATTAGGTTTATTGATCAACATTAGGAAATAGTCTTGGAAGTTTCCGACCGTTGGGCTCCTTCTCATGTTTACATTAAATCAAATTAAAATTCTGAACATATTCTAAAAACTTCAACGGAGCTGTTATTCCTTCCTTAATCAAATATTGAAGCAGACATCCGCTTTATATAAATAGTAAACATCCGTAATAATATATTTTCTTTATAATGCTCTCACCAATAATCCATTTTTTATTAATTAACCTTTCAATAGCAATTATTTGTGAGCATGTTTTGTTTTACATCCTATTTCCATTTTTATAATTATAGTTTATTTTGGTTTTTATTTGCTTACATGTTTCAACTTATGCAAGACGGAAGGCTTACCCTATGGGTTAGCAACCAATTTTTATAACATACATACATAGTATTTTTATATCATAATTTGTAACATGATTAATAATGAAAAGCTTTAGCAATCTGGTAGGTTCGATGCCGATACCACCAATCGATGTCCACATTCTTCCATCCACCGGTCTTCGTCTAAACCTAACCCCGCCAAATCAGCCTTAAAGCAATCTTCTCATCTTTGCTTTGGTCTACCCCTCGGACGCTTGCTAATCGGTACAGCGCATATTAACTTTTTAGGAATTATTTCGTTACTAAGACCAGCGATTTTACTTGCCCATTTAATTCGCCTCAACTTAATCATATTAATAGGATACAGTTCGGGCAATTCAGCGTACAATTGTGTAAATTCTCCGGTTGACTCGTCCTTTTTCGGTCCGAATATTCTGCGCAATACTTTATTTTCAAAAACCTTAAGACGTAGCTCATCCCTTAATGTAAGCGGCCACGTTTCGGATAGGAGACGAGAACAAAGTAGTTTTGACAAAGAAAAATAGCAAGCATTTTAATATGATTGAAACGTATACTTTTATAATTATGAGGACGTTTTTCTCGTATCATGCATTTTTAAAATCTCTACTCGCTGTGATGTTATTTCGGATCATTGATCGGAACTATCATTCGGATAGTTTCTGGAAGATATTTCTTTTTAATTTATTTTTTTAGTACCCTTATGTTAGTAATTACTGTGTCATAAGTTTTGGGTTAGAAAGTACAATTTTTTTAAAACATTTTTTGAAAACAAAAAAAATGAAAAAAAACTGTAACAGCAATACAATTCCTGAGGATCTTGGGTTCAGTTGGTACTTTGTAGGGAACTACTATTTCTTGGTCAACGGTTGCTCAAGAAGGTGATTTCAACTGTCAGATTTTCCCCTTAATTAATTATTTAATTAAGAGTGCCTACTTTATAGAAGCTGGGTGTGTCTCAGGAGGGTTTCTTGACAGAATAAATATGTAATAAATAATTTGTCTGCCATTAGCCGGATTGTAACTTGAGACTTTGAGCATTGGAAGTCAGTTCCCTACCACTGAGTTACCCCGCTCTCTGAAAACTATAAATAGGTAATGATAGGTAACAATTTTAAATCAATCTAAATAAATGAAATTTATAAATCATTCTGTTTATATCAAGTCCCGATGTAAAATAGTTTCCGCAAAAAACACACTAAGAAACAACTAAGATTTCAATAAGAGCGTATGGCGTCCGGTTATCCAATAATGCAGGGAAAACTGTTTTAGATAGCTGCATTCGGGTGGTGGAAAAAAAAAAAACCAAGACAGGGCTCTCCTCACCGAACGGCTATAGAAATTCGCGGAGTAGCGGTCTGTCATGGCTCTATGAGTTCCGTTGTGCTTTTTTCATCTTCTGTTTCCCCGCAGTTCGGGAAAGTCCTGGGGATCCTCACTGTCTGCCGTAGTGGAAGCGCTCTTGCAAAATATATAGTTCACCGCTACCCAAATAAAAAAATCCTCCGATATCAGAGCTTGTGGATAATCGTCTTCTAGTCGCCAATTCCGAAGAACTGATGATTTCCATATTTTTCCAAAATGTATATAACCTATTAATTGCCACATACATAGATTCGCTTTTCTCTGACCTTAAATGTCGAATTTGGATATTTGACAGTTTGAGTACATCTTAGTCGTACCCCATAGGAAAAGCATGTAGTAGTTCATCCTATTCAATTATGACTCCCAAGAAAAAGCAAATCAATTCGTTTTATCAAAGTAACAACGTAAGTTTTTTTTTTGTTTCTTTTTTATCAAAATTTGAAGTTTGACGTTTCAAGATACGTAGAATCCGAAAATCAAATTTGTCCATTCTAGATTATGGAGCAATTGTTTTGAGATTTCTTATCGATGTCAAAGGACACCCGAGGATGATCCTCAGAATCCGTCATTACCATCCACCCTATCCTTTCAAAATGGCGGCCGAAAAACCTAAATCAATATAGACTGTAGTGCCTAAACGAATGTACCGATTTCAATGAAACTGGGCTAAAGTCATCTCCTCGAAGCCCTATAAATTTATCTAGATAACGTACCATGGTTAAATTAGATTGTCGAAGGATTCAAAAAGTTTGTGTACAAAATTCCCTAAAAGAATCATTGAATTTGGACGGTTTGGTCCAAAGATATCTTGTTTTAAATATTTTTTATACGTTCTTTTGCAACGCTGGTATCCTATGTTTTTTTATTTTTATTTTCGGAATGTCTTTCATCAACTGAAGATTTAAGAATGTCTTGCATCAAACGTTTACCTTACTCTCTTACCTAATATTTCTTAGCAAATCACTAATAATGCAAAAGAAAATATATTTAAGCCAATATTAGGAATCACTTTTTATTTATTTTGTTTAGGAACCAATTATTTTGTTTTGTTTTTTTCAACTTATCGAGATCTCAATTTTGTTTAAATGATCCTTTATTAGTTGGAGGGTGCGGTCAACAATTACACACTGTGCTAGTGTAATGTTTTTATTTACATCGTTTACGTCTTATGAGGGCTGAAAGGAACTAGGGACAATTTATTCCTCTTACTCGATCACACGCATTACTTCTACTGTTTTAACTTTCAATGTATCATTTATTTTATTTGAAACAACTTTAAAAATCTGTGTAATAGAAAATTATCCCCATTGGATCAAAATAGCGGCTGAGTTAAGGTGCAAACTATTCCCTATCAGGAGCCCGGGTGTCTAGGGTGCCCGTTAGACATTGTCCGTGAAACGGTACAGCGGTGTTCCACGTGGGGTCCACGTGTGATTGTCCAAAGATCTATCGTATATCATATTAATTTCCTCGTAAATTTTTCATCAGAGAAGTGCCTTTGAAGTTTCCGAACAATTTCCTGTTTTTCTTCATAATTAAGATGAATACAAAGGTTACTGCTTGTGTAATTTGGTCTACATAATATTTCAATAAAAAAAAACTGCGTATTTCTTAGATTCATATTAGTCCGTGGTACAGACCTCTTTTTATCAAATTACTAACATCCTGCTGAAACTTCGTATATAGCTTCATCTCATCGTAACCTACAAATATTCCTCGTGGCCTTCAAAAATATTGAGCCATTTGTCCTACATTACATTTTATTTTGACAATTTGGAGATGTAGGTCACGCCAAACGGCTCAATATTCTTGAAGGCCACCTTTTTTCTCAACTTTGTGCTCAAGTTATCTTATGATTAAAGTGGAAAGCAAATGGGTATTTACGAGTTTTTAGCACCTAATTAAATTAACAAAGTTTGCCGGCCTCCATATTGAAAACGCCCCAATTCCGAGAATTTCCGTAAATAAAATATTTGTAGGTTACGATGAGATTAAGCTTTTTACAAAGTTTCAGCCGGAATTCGATTAATTAGGGCCTCAATAATTCGATAAATAGGGGCCTTTACCACGGACTATATTTGACTAATACCTCTCTTCAAATACGACATAGTTTTTTTAATCATATACTTTTATAGCAATGCAACTTCTTTTACAGCGGACAACAATACTATATATAGTTCAAAGGCAAAGTTCAGTACAATTTATATTATAAAAATGTTTATATCATTGCGTTTATGTTTTATGTTTTAATAACCCAGAAACGCAGGCTTATAACATTGTTTTTTAATTACTGTTGCCGAAATGTCATGGGAAAGTGGGAAAGTTTTAGAGTATACATATATTTCTACCTAAGAGGTAAAAACTCGATTGTCACATTTTTGAAATTGTTCAGGTCACCTTTGTCTTGAAAAAAATCTCATAAATCAGTTTATAATTGCCAAATTTCGCATACTATATTGAAAAAAACGTTATTTAAAATATATTTAAAATTTTTTTTTTTTAACTTGTTTATTGAAAATGTTACAATCTGTCTCAAGGTACATTTATAATAGTGTTCAGATATCACATTAACACTATGTACAATAAAAAAATAAATTATACAGAAAATAATATGTATACAATAAATAAGTATAAAATAACCTAAAAATAAATAAATACAAAAGAACACACTCATACCTATATACACTAATTTTGAAAAATTAAAGTAATTATAAAACAGTTCTTGATCTGAAATATTGGAGTTTGATACATTTCTAATTTGTAACGACCCGAAAATCACGATTTTAAAGTTAACCCATGAAGAAAAATTCCGTCGATTTTTGAGCTTTATAGACCAATCATGCCATTTTTAAATTTATATTTTAGTTCCACAGAAATAGTTGTCTACATTCGAGGAATTGCTGTGTTATATATTTGTGTGATGTTGTAATGAGTTCTTGGCGTTTGAGAATTTAAAGAGGAAAACAGGGAATTGTTTTTTTTTTGTCTTGGGAAAATGTTTATTGTGCTGTGTATATTGTTTAATATGGTTTTATTGTTGATGATGAAGTGTATTGTTATGAGGGGGAGGAAGAAAAAAAAGAACG